GACAGAGAGAGAGTCCCGACACGTTCGCCGAGCAGTGGCGCAGCAAATGCGCCGTGTGTGTGTGTGTGTGTGTGTGTGTGTGTGTGTGTGTGTGTGTGTGTGTGTGTGTGTTTCGTTATGAAAACAACGGGAATGAATCATCCCACCACGGGATGATTCATTCTCGTTGTTTTCATAATGAAACACGCGCGCACACACACACACACACACACACACACACACACACACACACACAGCGAGAGACAACACATTTGCAGCGCCATTGCTCGGCGAAAGCGCCGAAACTCTCTTTGATCCTCACCTCTCTCTCTCTCTCTCTCTCTCTCTCTCTCTCTCTCTCTCTCTCTCTCTCTCTCTCGCATTTGCAGTGCCATTGCTCGGCGAAAGCGTTGAAACTCTCTCTGACGTCTCTCTCTCTCTCTCTCTCTCTCTCTCTCTCGCGCGCGCGCGCGCGCGCGCGCGTGCGCGCCACTACTGGCGAAAGCACCGACACTCTTTCTGACCCCCACCTCTCTCTCTCTCTCTGTCTCTCTCTCTCTCTCTCTCTCTCTCTCTCTAAGTATGTGCAAAATGGGAATGAATGCTTCCGCCTTCCTGGGAGCATTCACTCTCGTTTTTCACATAGACATAAATGCGAAATAGAGGTACTTCATAATCTCCAACAGCTGGAACAGAAGGAAACACCAGAGACCAACCAGAATCATCAGTCGGACATACAGTCTTTACAACAACAACTACAAACCTTTGCTGCCCAACGATGGGAAGGCGTACGCATCAGAGCACGAATCTCACGACACCGAACTGAAGGTACAATGGATACTAAGTTCTTTAGCATAGCCCGAGCACGAACAAGAAGGACGAACATTGAAGCCCTATATGACCAAAAAATAGGATATGGGAAAGTAGCAACTTCCACCCCCCAATGTATGCACATAGTGCGTTCCTTCTTCAAGGATCTTTTCACTTCTAGATATGCCCAGCGGGAGCAATAGGCTAGGGAAAAAGAGATCGCAACCTTCTTACAGCCCCTTACGAAAAGTCTTTCTGAACAACAAAAGGCACATTAATATCGCCCGCTGTCCAAGGAAGAGATCTGGGCTGCTCTGCTGCAAATGGAGGAGGAAAAAACATCGGGCCTAGATGGCTTCCCAAAGGAATTCTGGGAAACATTTTGGGACCACATGGCCCCGAACCTGATGGAGTACTATGAGCAGGTATGGGAATCCGGACGCATGGGGGAGTTGGTTGGGCAGGGGGTTCTCACCCTATTATACAAAAAGGGAGATAAAATGGATATAAGAAATTACCTCCTGATAACCCTACTGACAGTCGTATACAAGATGCTTGCAAAAGCCCTGGCGAATCGCCTGATCCATGTTCTGGAAACACTCATACATCCTACGCAAACAGGGTTTGTTAAAGGGCGTAGAATTCAATATAATATTCTTTTGGTCAACGAACTCTTGAGACTGATACGACAAGATAAATGTAATGCGACTGTGATCTTCATAGACTTTGAGAAAGCGTATGACCATGTAGACTGACTCTTCCTAGACAAATGCATGGAAAAAATGAACGTGGGTCCGCTCTTCCAGAGATGGACTGCAATTTGCATCAGAACGCCACCACCAGAGTCCAGGTTAATGGGATGCTGGCTCCGGAAGTTCAGCTACAGCTGTCGGTACGCCAAGGGGACCGCTGGCCCCCTTTCTCGTCATCATCATAATGGAAGTGCTGGCGACAAACCTTCGTGCCAACAAGGACTTGAAGAAACTTCAGATCTCCGCCATCCCAGAGGAAGGCATCCCTGTTTGCTCAATGTTTGCGAATGATTTGACCATTATGCTAGATACCTCGCATGCCAACATGGAGGAGATTAGAAACCTCATGGACCGTTTCACAGTTGTGTCTGACATGACGGTCAATTGGGGAAACAAAACCTTGGGGTGGTGGATTCATCACCAAGGAGTACCCCCCCCTGAGCAGCCAAGAGTCAAATGGGTACCCGCAGAGGCCCCGATTAGGGTCCTAGGTATTATGATGACAGTCGTGGACAAACCAGCGTCTAACGACGATTGAATTTTGAAACCGGCACTGGAAAAGATCGCTCACTGGAATGACAAACGGACATCGCTGATGGCTGGGGCCTTGGCCATCAATAACTTCATTCTGGCTTCATTATGGTACAAGTCTGCACTATGGGCCCTTAGCAAGGAGGCGGTCAAAGCGTTGAAGAGACAGGTTACGATGCTGCTCTGGAGAGGGGACAACAATCTCCTAAATGTCATCAATAGAGTGGCTTGGCCAGTGGTGATTCAACCCAAAGATAAGGGCGGTCTAGGAATTCTAGACCCTGCTATCCAAGTCACAGCGATAACTGTACAGTGGATTAGACAACTGTTATTCAGTCCCCGTCTCCCATGGGTGGCCCTGGCCTTTGAACAAATTGCACGATTAGCCCCCCAGGCCCCCTGTGAGGTTGACCCGCTGACTTGGCTCAAGGACCATTTTTGGTCCATACCTCGCCCCTCCAAACACCAGAGGGATACAAAACGGGGGGCTACCAAACGCGACCTAGCTGGGGATGACTTCTGGATTAGGTCACTCTGCGCGTGGCGTCAGCTCCCCATGCCAGACAAGAGTCGGCCGTCCAGGTGGGAAGAGGTGATGAGACAACCCCTCTTTGGGAATCTGTATATCACGAACTGGCAAGGGAGAGTATTCCGCAGTTCGGACCCCCCGTGGTGTGGCTGGGTCAAAAAGGGGGTGGTAAGAATCCGAGACATATGGGACGTACAAGGAAAAAACTGGAAAACAGAACAACAACTGAAACCTAAACTGAAATATTGCCACCACGTGAGTAACAACCTAGAGGAACTGGTTTTCTATGTGCCTCAGAATTGGGTGCGCACCCTGCGTAAAGGACCGCACCTGCAGGAAGGAGACTGGGTAGCAGTCCCAGACGACACAGAAAGTGTGGGGAATACTGTGGTGGTAAACGCACTGGAATCACTGGTGAACCTTTTTCACCGGGAGGATAGTAACAAGCTCACGAGGTACTACCCTGATGTGGTGAGATCGTGGAAAAAGAATGATTTACACCGCATCCGGGTGATCCACACACGAGAGGATTGGTTCGCATTCCTCCCTGATATCCCATTGGCTGAACTCCCCTTCGACCTGGAAGAGTGGCAATGGATTCCGTCAAAAAGTACGAGGAGCAAAGAAAATAAGACGCTAAAAAAAAAAAAAAAAAAAAAGTGCGCTGACGCTTAGCGCTAACCTGCGCTACGGACCGGCTGGCGAGGTCCAGCCATACTCCGTGGGCTGGGACAGCTGTGGTTCCATAGCTGTTCTTGGTCATCGTGGTGTTTGCTTGGTCGCTCTGTCCAGGCGATGGTGGTATTCACACCGGATACACCAGGGACGGTACGTTGGTGTAAGGCGTCTGATTTGCAGGATCCGACGACGCATTTTTTTGGACGAAATGGTTCCCAATGAAGAATTACGAAGGGGTGCGGCTGAATGGTTGGTGACTATAGAAGATGGCAGCCGCCGTTTGCAGGAGGTTGTGGATATTTTGTCTTCGAGCCATGGTGATCAGAGGGAGGCTGTAGGGGGGACAATCACACTTGCGCCATGGCTGGAGTTCATGATGCAGAGCATGCTTGATATCATTTGGGAGTTGGAGGAGGGGCCGGCTCCTTCGCTGGAGGAGTTTGTTGATTGGCATCAAGCAGACTTGCTCATGCATAGATGCTATGACGTCTTTAGGAACGGCCAGGATCGTTGGGCTGCTTTGGAGGCGGGATTGTCGCCTACAACAACAATTGAAGACAGCAGAGGCGGCAACAACTTCAGCACCAACATCGACTGCAACGACAGTAACGACAACGACAATAAAAACGAAAAAAACATCAACAACAACAACAACAACAACAACAATGAGCTCGAGATTATTAACTATAGCTCTCTTGGTGTCTTGAACGACAACTGTGGAGGTGACATCGCTAGCAGAGGGATCGTCGTTGCGAGAACATCGATGAAAATGGCGGGAATGACGATAACATTTTCAACAACAACAGCTACAACAACAACAACAACAACAACAACAACAACAACAACAACAAACAACTCAATACTTCTGCTGCTGACGTGGACGGCGACTTTGGCGATGTAGCTACCAGCGGCGTCTTTGGTCATGGGAGCAATGGAGTACTCCTCGTTAGTGCTGACAACGACCTTTCCATTTACGTCAGCACTCATGATGATGTTGATGCTGATGATACTACTGCAGCTGCTGTTGATGATGCTGCGGCTGCTACTGCTGTGGATGATGAAGATATTGGCGGCCTTATCGCTGACGTGGCAGGTGCCGATGATGATGATCTTGATGCTGCGGCTGATGCTCTTGATGATGCCGCTGTTGATAACGATGACGCGGATGATGATGATACTCATGCTATTGATGATGATGATGATGCGGCTGATGCTGCTGGTGATGATGAAGCTGGAATTGATGATATTCATGACGAAGCTGCTATTGCCGCTGATGATGACAATGGTGGTCTTATCGATGATGTGGCTGGGCCTGACAATGGCGCGCGTGATGATACCGGTGAGGCCGATGCTGCTGCTGTAGATGATGYTTATGATGATGACGATGCTACTAATGCTACTGATGATGATGACGATGCTGCRGATGATGATAWTGAAGATGCTCTTGATGATGATGCGTCTCCCGGGAGGAGCGGGTTGGGTATTTGCAGCAGGGTGGCTGCGTTTCTTTCGGTTGTCTGGGATGGGGTTTTCTTCTTCCCCACTCTTCCTGCGGGGTTCTTCTGTGGGCTATGGTGGCGTATAGGGGTTGGCTAGTTGGGGATGTTTGCTATTGCCCGGCCAGCAATATCATTCATCGGGTTGGAGTTTCGCTTCCTTGGCTTGCTCTTCATTTTCATTTGACTCAGGAATGCTGCTTGATTACCTTACCCCTATGCTGCTTGCCTTCCCCCCCCCCTCTTTTGCTGCTGCCTCATTTAGGTTTCGGTGAATGGGAGGCGACGGGTAGGATATTGAAGTAACGTTTTGCATCAGGTACTGTTAGCTATGGCATGCATTCCTATCGCCTGTATTAGTTGCCCATTGTTAGCCACATGGCGTGGCTTTTTGAAGTGTGCTTCGAAACCCTACGGTTTTTCGTGCAGTTGGTCAATCCTCCTCCGGTATGGGGGAGTAATCAATGCCTCTGCCTGTAGGGATTGGCCACGGGGCTTTTCTATATTTTTCTATACGTTTCTCATTGTCACATTTTTACATTTCCATATATCAACATATCAATGTATAGGGACGCTGGACCCGATTTCCAGCAGGTGTTGCTCCCCACCAATAGATGGAGCCTTCGTTTAAAGGGGAAAAAAAAAAAAAAAAAAAAAAAAAAAAAAAAAAGCTTTTCTCTCTATCGGTAAAATCGACTTATCGCCTCCTGAGACCGAGGATTAACGTGAAGGAAATTGTGCAGGAGCGCTGGATAACCCCACTGAATGTGGGGAACGATGTCGTGCGACACATCAGATGGTTCAAGGCAGTAAGATATAAGCCTGCAAAACTGGCTTCACTGCAGTGGCAGATAGAACACCGCTGCCTCCCCACCAATACCTGGCTAATAGACCGCACGTATCTAGAACAGAGAGGTTTAGCTCTGCCACGGTGCCAGTCTTGTTTTGCCTCCTTCACCGTAAGATCCCGGAGACTATAGAGCACATATTTCTGCAGTGCCCGGGCGCGGTCCTTACATGGCGCTGGTGGGACAGGATCTGGCGACAGCTGGGCACTGGCTCTACATGGCCGTGGGACTGGAGAGCCCTACTATGTGAAGTCTGGTCCTCCCCCACAAACTCCCCCTTCGAAGATAATATGTTTAAAACGGGGAGGAGAGCTGTTATTTGGGCCCTCTGGCGGAAAAGGTCTATACATGCAATTGAAGGTGTCAGAATAGACGGGGAGGAAGGTGTCAGAATAGACGGGGAGGAAGCCACATAAATGATCAGGCAATATATCCAAGATGAACTCAGGGAACAGTGGCAACAAGTGAAAGCACAATTAGATCTGTTTCATATGAAAAAAGATATAACACGGGTCATCAAGCAATTCTCAGAAGAATGGTTGGGGAGTGATAGAGGGGGCAGGATAGCCTACATTCGATGGGAAGGAGGTCAGGCATCGGATTTGGGACAGGAGGAGCTCACAAGAGACTATGTTATCTGCTTCAACGATTGGACTAAGGTAGACGCTGCAGTTCCTCTGAGACCTCCGGCGGACTTCCCTGACCCCTTTCCCCCTCATGGGCTCTCCATGGTGGATTTACAGTGGTATGGTGCAGTGTAAGAGCTGGGTAAAGAGCAGCCCAAGAGCAACAGACCATCTTGGGAGACAGTAAAGTCCTCGGATCTTGGGGCAACAATGTTGACAGGACAAACAAGGATGTGAACAGTCTAACCCCCCAGGGATTAGAATAAGCAATGTTTAGTAAAGGGAGGGATGGACGGTAGGGGACTGGGGTTGGTAGGGGGAGGGAGGAATTAGCGGGGTCGGTAGGGGGAGGGAGGAATTAGCAGGTAGCAGCAGAAATATGGCACTGACTTCAAGCTGAAGGGATCCCCCCTCCTTCCTCCATCCTGCTCAGTCAATCCCCTGGGCCCCAGGGTAATCAATGCTGGCAGGAACCCTCCCTCTAGTATTTCTGTTTTTACTTTTTACACGGCTTAAACTTAATCTGTAAAAGGGACGCTGGACCCGTTTTCCGGCAGGTGATGCTCCCCACCAATAGATGGAGCCCTCCCAGGTGCTAGTGGTGTCTGCTCTCACCAGCACCACTAACACTAGCGGGGTTTAAAAAAAGAAAAAAAAAAACTCTCTCTCTCTCTCTCTCTCTGTCTCCACACTCTCTCTCTCTCTCTCTCTCTCTCTCTCTCTCTCTCTCTCTCTCTCTCTCTCTCTCTCTCTCTC